CTGATCACCGAGTCCTTTATAAGTTTTATAAAAGTCTTTATAAAAAAAAAAAAAAAAAACCTTTGTTAAAATTCTTTATAAATTTTTTATAAAAAATTCTTTTATGAAGACTTTTTATAAAAAATTCTTTATAAGACTTTTTGTAACAGTTTTATAGACAATAAAGTTCAATAATTGCAGCACTTCTATTAAAAACACACACAGCAAGTACCATGTGGAAATTCATTAAATTAATGACTTAACACGAATTAAAATTTAAAATTAAACATTGAATTAAGAGCTTGAAATGACAAAATTTAAAATTAGAAATTGAATTGAATTAATTAATTGATTAAAATGTCATTAAATTAGTGAATTACAATGAATTGGAATTTAAAACTGAATTACTGAATTAAAATTTCATTACATTATTGAATTAAAGATCAATAAAAACTGAAATGAAAAATTAATGAATTAAAGTTTCATTGTATGAATGAATTAAAATGAATTGAAATTTAAAATTAAAAACTGAATTAATGAATTGAAAATTCATTGAGTTCGAATGATTTCAAATTTAGAATTAAAATCAAATTAGTGAATTAACATTTCATTAAGTTAATAAATAAAAAGAATTGAAATTTAAAGATAAAAACTGAATTAATGAATTTAAAATTTGTTAATGAGGTAAAATGAATTCAAATTTAGAATTAAAAATGGAATTATTCAATAAAGTTCAAATAAATTAGAACTGAATTAAGTAATTAAAATTTCATTACATTAAGGAATTGAAACTAACTGAAATTTAAAGTTAAAAATTGAATTAGTCAAAATTTCATTAAATTAATGAAAGTGCACTGAAATTTAAAATTAAAAACTGAACTAATTAATTAAAAATTCATTAATGAGGTAAAATGAGTTCAAATTTAGAATGGAAAACCAAATTAATTAACAATTCATTAGAGTTCAAATGGATTAAAATTTTGAATTCAAACTGAATTAATGAGTTAAAACTTCATTAAATTAATGAATGAAAATGAATTCAAGGATTGAATGAGTTAAAATTTTGTTAAATTAAGGAATCAAAATTTAAAATTAAAAATGGAATTAATGAATTTAAAATTCGTAAATGAGGTAAAACAAATTCAAATTTAGAATGGAAAACCAAATTCATTAACAATTCATTAGAGTTCAAATGAATTCAAATTGAATTAATTAAAATTTCATTAATGAATTGAAACTAACTGAAATTTAAAGATTGAATGAGTTAAAATTTCATTAAATCAATGAATTGCATTGAAATTTAAAATTAAAACCTGAATTAATGAATTTAAAATTCATTAATGAGGTAAAATTAATTCAAATTTAGAATTAAAATGGAATTAATGAATTAAATTTCATTACATTAATGAATTGAAACTAATTGAAATTTAAAGTTAAAAATTGAATGAGTCAAAATTTTGTTGAATTAATGAAGTGCATTGAAATTTAAAATTAAAAACTGAATTAATGAATTTAAAATTCATTAATGAGGAAAAACGAATTCAAATTTAGAATGGAAAACCAAATTAATCAACAATTCATTAGAGTTCAAATGGATTAAAATTTAGAATTAAAATTGAATTAATGAATTAAATCTCATTAATTGAGTTCGAATGAACAAAAAATTAAAATTAAAACTGGACTTAATGAATTTAAAGCCCCCCGACGGTACCTCTGTCAGGCAGCAGGTGACTCGAACTCCCGGAGCCTTTTCTCTTCCCGGGGGGATTCCCAAGCTCTTCCCGCTGGGATTGCAGCCCCCTCTGGATCCTCCTCTCCTCCATGAGCAGCTTGAGGTGCTTCACTCGCTCCCCGGAGCGGGAGATGAAATCGGGGCGATGAACGGCCAGAGCCTCCTGAGGGGGGACAAAACACACCCTCAGGTGACCAAAGTGTCCCAAATATTCCCACAAATTCCAAAGGGTGGGAAAAGAATCCTGTCGTAATAGTTGGTGTGATGTGGGAAATCTCGTGGCCTCGATGATCCTTGGAGATCACGATTTGGGGACAAACGGGAAAGGAAGGGGACGGAAAGAGAAGAAAGGGAAATAGGAATAAAATAATAATAACAAGGAAAGGGGAAAGGGAAAAGAGTGAAGGGAAAAGGGGGAAAGTGGAAATGGGAAACAGAAAAATGGGGAAAGGGGGAATGGAAAGGGAAAGGAAAAGGGGAAAGGGGAAAGAAGAAAGGAAAAAGGGAAAGGAAAAGGGGGGAGGAAAAGGAAAGGGGAAAGGAAAGGGGAAAGAGGAAAGGGGAAAGAGGAAAGGGGAAAGAGGAA